CATAAGTAGAATGACAAATGCAGTTTGGGCCAAATGCAATGTTCCTTCACATTTATTAGAAAAGCAGACAAAAGAGACCAGAAGCATACAGCAATAAACACTGTTTGTTTGATTACCTTAATCTAATCGAGAATTTTCAACCAGTAGAGGACTTTTATATCTAGCACAGCATAACAATGAAGTTAGCTTTTCTTATCTCTGATAATAAAAATCCTCAACTCTAAAGCATCTTTTGTGAATATTTTTCAAATAACATAGCATATTCCATTTTCTAAAAGTTGACATATACATAAATATCAAGTTTTATAAAATATTTTTAATAAACTCAAGAGTGATTACAAGCTCAGTAAAGTTAAGAAAGTATTAACAAAGTTCATTTGTAATTATTATATCAATCTTCACCTATTTTGATGTTCCCATATAATTTTTTTCCATAAAATAATTTCAAATCTGAAAAAAGATTAAAAAATTTAGTTGTATATTTTCTCTAACTATAGATTTAATTATAAAAAATGATTTATAATTATTAATTCATTAGCAATTAACTTATATGAAATAATCCATAAAATACAATGTTTTATTAACAAAGTAAATTTCTCAACAGACCAGTGGAGTTTCATAAGTTTCATCACTCATACAATTAACTTTTATTTTGAGTGTAAACAGAAAACAACTTTGAATTTCCTACATAAATCAAAAGACAGTCATAGTTCCTCTGTGAGATATATTTTAATCATACTTGAAAACATTTTAAATAGCCTAAATTGCTTAAAACAAATTCTTTTCCCACATTTTTCTAATAATCTTGGTAATACTTTTAGAATGTCTTCTCTTGCTGACCAAGAAATCTTCCTTTGGCCTTTAATTATACTTTTTAATCAGACATAAATTTTCTCTTCCATATTTAAGCAAATTTAAGAAATGTGAAGACATAAACAAATACAAAGAAATTAATGTTTGGTTAATAAATTTTAGACTCAAAAAACATTCTGCACCTACATTTCAAAATATAACAGCATGATGATGTATTTCCAAATTTTTACTATTACATTTTAATTTCAAAATTGCTATCATTGTCAGAGTAATGTGTATGTTAAACAAAAAAGTTACATTACCCTCCAGAAATTATTTTCCTCACAATAGCTATAAAAATCATACATTGTGAACAGCTTATAAAATAAAATTTTACTTATTAAAACTGCTTTTTTATTCTGTTCTAATATCCAATTTCATATCAAGAAAAGCCATATTTAAAAAAATATCGAACTCTTCATGAATTTATATGTCATCCTTGCTAATCTTCTTTGTATTGTTCCATTTTTAGTATATGTGCTGCCAAAGCAAGCATATCAAGAAACACTTTTAATTGGAAACTGCAAATGAGAATAAGACTAATCACAAAATTAAAAGAAATAAAATAACCACTATTAACTAGTTCATAGTTATATGAAAAAAGAGTTTTTGTTGAATGAGGAATTTCTATGTGATATATGTTGTTATTGTTTATAAATTTATAGTTTGGCACAAAAGGTGATTAAAATATTATTTAAATATATGGTTTCTTTCTAAATAAATAAAATGCGGTATCCTATTAAAATGTTATGCATTTAAAATTATTTGCATGTGTTCATTCATCTATCATTCAACAAATGTTTGGTAAGTGTTCCTTTTACAGATTTCAATTTTTAACATATACATGCCAGATACTCTTTATTTCTGATTTTCCATTTTTTAATAGTGATTACTAATGTCAACTGAATATTGAGTTCCAATATGGATGATCATTCAGCATTTTTAAAGGGCTAAGCATTGTGGGTCAGGGTTGCATGCCTAACGCCTGTGTCAAACTAGAGAGAGAGTTCTTAAGAAGGTATTTATGTTTTAAAAAGGTAATAGTACATCATGATGAGCAAAGAAAACGTATTTGTGAGCCTAAGCAAACCACTGGCATCAAGGTTGCAATTCTTTCATGGAAATCCTCTCGTGTCGTCCTTATACAATCTCTATGGCTGAAATTGCTGTGAGGTTGTTTTGGTCTGTGTCTTTCTGATAATCCTAGCTATAGGTACCTGAGAATACATTCACATGGGCAGAGATCCAAGGACTGAGCTCTGAAGGCTCCTGAAAGTAAACACTGGGAGCACCTGCGCAGGGTGAAAAGTATAGTGAGAAATGACCTATTACGTATCATGCACCAAAGAATACTTAAAAATTCTTCAATACATAGTCACTTGGGTAGAGGAAGCAGTTCTCTGGAACCAAAGACAATATTTCTAAAAGCATAATTCCCCTTAAGATTTTGAAGAAAATGTTTAATTTTCATCTAAAATAAAAATTCATTTTTTATTAGCTTCTACAGTACCCAGCTTTCCCACATACTCTTCCATAGCATACAAAGTAACATAAATTTCCAAAGAGAAGGTACAAGAAAGCACATAGCACAGTCCTGAAAAGGGCAATATATACATATATATAAAAGGAAATTAACAGGTGAAACTGTTATTTCTAGAGCACAGGGAAGTTATATCAGACAAGGAGCATTTAGGGAGCTTTATATTTATAGTATCTTATTCTATATGACTCGAAGTTTACCTCCAATAAACAAACACATTAGCAGATGCTGCTTTCATTTTACATTCAACAAACTCTTATATATGCATTCGTAGATGTTTTTCTGTTAAAAAGCCATATTTATTTCTTTACACATGTTTTTGCTAGCGTCCTAAATTTGGGTTCCAGATGATCTAGAAACTCAAGCCCTTCTTCTTCCTGCCGATCACTGCAGCAGCCTACAGAGCCAGCCATGGACCCTTTTCCTTCATAGTTGTACGAACGAACGTTGTCTTCGGAATGTTTATGCTCCTCATCTTGTCCACACAGATACACCTTCTGTATTAAAAAACAGCACATTTTATTATTTTTTAAAAACACCTAAACATATTAGCATAAAAATAATGTCTTTGATTTACCTTTTACTGTTTAATTTTTAATCAGAGTGTGTCCTCTAATGGATTCCTACACATAAAAAATGCACATAATTGGTCTGTATTATAGTCATTCATAAAATATAGCAAATATATAAATGCTCCCTGTGAACACATTTATGAAAATTAAAGCTACATGTATATCATACAACTAAATTACTATTTCCTATTTGAACATAAGATTTGTATAGTTAAATGGGTCTCTGTAGCTTCTTCATATATGTGGGGGAAACCAAAATTGGCTGTTATTCTTATTGTTTATACACTATTATATAGCTATAATAATGTAATATATTAAACTGGCTAATATTAATCTATGTTGATTAATCTGAACATAAAACAAGGAACTAAAATCCAAAATAAAAGCATGTCAGTCTATCTCATTGATATTGATAGCCAGGACTTTATAACCACATGGAGGATTCAACACACTAAAAAAGTGTTTATAATTTATGATCCATGCATGACTCTATATCAAATATTTTACTCCAGCTGATTTTGCTGATAATTTTTAGGGAAGAAGCTATCAGCCTTTTTACCTCCCAAACATGTCTACATATGTCACTCTTAGATAAAGTTTTATAAACCTTATTTTTAAAAATGAACTTTAAAAGATCATTTTTCTCTTTGGATTTGGAAATGACAGCCATATCTATGATAATTCAACATTAAAACAGTGATGAATTCCAGATATATAAGGAGTAAAACTCTTGGGAAATCTTTATTTGTAAATAGTGTTTAACTTTCACATGATATGAACCCCAAGACGTTGGCACTTACTTCGCCAAGCCGAGGCTGGGTGAAGCTGTGCCAGTCAGTGTATGCGTATCTGCCGGTATCTGTTCCTCCCTGTCCTGCTCCCTTGACAGATTCTAAGGTCTGATGTCCATTTCCTTTGCTGGAATCCAAAGTGTAGCCTCCTTTGACCATCTCAAAGCTTTGCTGTGTTTTGACTCCTTGGCCACCAAGAGTACCGACAGACATGCTTGTGTCACAAATGTTGGATATCTGTGTCGGGAGTCTAATATTTGCTTCCTAAAAATAAAATTAGAGTAATAAAATGAATGAATCAAATTAAAACTAACAATTAGATTTCATGTCTTTCCCACCATAAGCCAATCGCTTATCCACTGTGTCTCCCAGTTCCTCATACATAAAATCAGAATAATAATAGTATCTATACCTTAGGTGTTATGGGTTGAATTGTGTCCCCCCGCCCAAAATTCATATGTTCAAGTCCTAACCCTTAGAATGTAATTTTATTTGAAGCTAGGATCATTATGGATGAAATTAGTTAAATTAAGATGAGGTCATATTCAATTAGGGTGAGTCTCTAATCCAAAAAGAGAAATTTGGACACAGATACACACACAAGGAGAAAGCCATTTGAAGATTTGGTTATGCTGCCATAAACCAAGGAACTACCAGATGCTAGGAGAAAGGCCTGGGACAGACTCTTCCCTAGCACCTTCAGAGGGAACAGCATGGCCCTGCCAACACCTGGATCTATAATTTCTGAACTTTAGTACTATGAGATGATAAATTTCTACTGTTTAAGTCACTCAGCTTGTGGTACTTAATTGTGGCAGCCCTAGGAAACTCATACAATAGAATTACAAAGTTTAAATAAATTAACACATGCTGGGGACTTGGAGCTCTGCTTGGCATAGTAAGTGTTAATGTTTAACATTAAACATTATTATTATTATTATTATTGCTATTATTATGTAACAATTCAAAGGAAAGCGCAATATGATTTACCATTACTTCTTCTCCAGGTCCTTCAGTATTTGATACAATTAAATTTTGCTGGGCTACATCATCTGGTATACATTTCTTTACAGCTTTCTTAGCAGTAACACAGAAACATGTAAACAGAATGCCTAAAAAATAAAAATACTTAAGTGAATAGTATATTTTTATGCCGGTATATATTAAATCACTTGAATCATATGATTGTTTAAAAATTTCTTCTGCAGAACTTTAAAAAACTCATTCATAAATTGAGATATCTTTGGGTTATAAAATTAAAAACAGATTATTAACAAATGTATTAGAATATAGACCATCTCTGTCTTAGTGAGATTATGTTATTAGGCTAAATAAGAAATAAATCAAAAAAAGTAACGAGAATGAAGTGAGCATAGTTTATTAATAGTTCTTTTCCCAGGTCCAGAATTAACTTAAATGTTTCTCTTATTTCATCCACACTAAAATAGAAACTTCATTCCATTGAAATTTAACCTAGTGTTATTGGTGTTTAAAATCCATACAGAACTCACTCAAAGGACTTAGAACCATAAAACAAAGAGCATTAGGCATAAATACAAACAAAAAAGGCAATTACATGAAATCGGTGACTGGTTTTGAAAATATGCATCATTAATATAGTGCTAAGAATATCCATAACCTAAAAGTTGAATCAATAAATTAGGACATAGTAAAGACTATGGGAAGAGTTTATAAATGTAAATAGGTTGTGCGTAGTTGAGTAGATTATTAAAAAAGAAAGGAAGATAGGAAGGGAGGGAGAAAAGGAGGGAAGAAGGTAGAAGGGAGGAAGGGAAGGAGTGAGGAAAGTGTGGGCAATGATTTCCATCACATTTGCATCTCCAAAAAAGACATTCTGCAGAATGCAAAATTTTAACATTCTCTGCATGCATTGCTTTTCCTCAGTGGATCACTATATGACTATTTTCCACTCATTCTTAAGATGTATGCTACATCACTTCATTATAATCATGGAGCATAAACATCTAAGAAAATTTTGGAAATACTCTTTTCACTAATTCTTTTTATGCATTCACTACAAAAACTTGGCTGATTGAAAGACTATAATATTTTGTATGGGAGGAAATCTTAACATTAATTTTATCCAACTTCCTCATTTTCCATATGAGAAAAAGAGCTCAAAAGTAAGAAATGATTTACTCAGTGTCCATAGCTAATTATTGAAAGAAATAAGGCTACATCTGTGAAAAATCACTTTAAATTCTATCTGCTCTTACTAATACATTTCTTCTTCTATGACTCAGTCATATTGTACACAGAAGATTTCTTAAAGGGCACATTTATCAAAGGCCATAAATGTCATTGATAGAAAGAACTGTCGGGTATTTTTTAAAATATTCAATAAAACTTTAGCTAACACGTTCTAGATAATTATACTTACATAACAACAATGCAGAACCCAACACCATGGCAAGAATAGCCCATCTTCCAAGTATTACATTTGATAGCATAACATCACTCTCACGTGGCTTTGTACTCATTCTACAGTCAGATGGAGTTATACAGTCACATACTCTCACTGACAACATGTGTTTTGCAGCAAAACCATGTCTATCTTTTATTTCAATAGGCACATTATAATAGTCAAAATCAAGAGGTTGCCGTGCACGAAGAACAGCGGTTTTACCTATGGGGAAAAAATGACAGAGAATATATATTGATATGACTTTCCAATGACAATATTATTCTGACTTGGTATCTTAGGGTAAGGAAGGGGGATAGGAGGCACAGAATTTAGCTTAGAAGAAAAATTCTAGTGGTTCATTTTTCTTTCTTAAAAATGATTTTGAATTCTTAAAAAAACAGGAAAACTAATTGACATTGCTTTACTCTTATTTGAGATTAATCTATACTTAACATGTTATTCAAATATTGTATTAAAATGAATTTATGTTTTCATAAAATATATTCAGAACAAATGTCTAAACTTAACATAAATATATTATTCATTGCTTTTTTAAAAAAGCAAGGTATTATTCTTTTTGGGGATCAATAATTTCCTAAAATGAATATTTATCTATTATCATGAAGTTAGGTGAAAGTGAAGATGATTAGCCATTTTAAGTTCCTATTGATTAGAAGAATAAGCATAATTACATACCATCCTTTGTTTCTAGAGTAAAACGTCGACTGGCAGAATTATCCAAAGCAAATTCAAAAGGTGGACCATTCTCAGGTCCATCCGGATCCACAGGATTGAGAAGAGCAAAATCCTGAGCATGCTGACAAATCGTCACTTCTTTTTCAATTTGTGGTGGGTGATCATTATCATCTTCCAGAAAAACAACTAATGTTCCAGTGCAAGATCTGCCACCTAAAAAAAAAAAAAAAATTAAAATAAGACATATCTTCCCTTAAAAAATTACTTTCAACCATCTCTGATACACAGGTGACACTTGCTGTCAACTAGCTGACAGAACTTGAATTTCATATTTTCTGGATCACGTTTTCTGGTTCACAAGTACAAAATTGTGACAGCTTTTTAAAATTAAAAAGTAAAAGATTGCAACTAATGGAATCACCAGTTGAAATTAAAATTGATTTTTTACATTTTTCTATATTCATATTCAAAATACAAAATCTTTACATTTGATCATCAATCATTTCCTCAACCTCCTCTCTTGACCATTTTCCTAATATGCTCTTTTGCCCAAATTTTGTAAAACTTGTCATCAAACCCTCTAGGTGTGCTCTTTCGCATGTCTGCTTTGGTGCATTCTGTTGGCACTGCTGGGAATAATTTTCTCTTCATCTTTGCCTTACAAAACCTTATTATCCTTCAAGAATCCACTCAAATATTACCTTCTCATGAAATTTGCTGTGATTTCTATGGACAATGGTAGCTACATTCTCCTTTGATTTCTCAGAACACTTGGCTCATCGTTGCCTCACCCTGAACTGTGAACTATTCATCTTAAGAGCTAAGTCATATTCATCTTGAGAGCCCAGTGAAACGCCTAATATTTCTTGTCTTACTTACAACTTAATACCAAAACATTGAACAGAATGTACTTACTATTTTTATACTTTGTAAAAAAAACTTAATTAATAAACCATAAACAAGTTTGTACCCCCACCTAAATTTATTAATGTGTTCTTGAGAATAGGGACTTTTATTCATCTCTAGATGGCCACTATTATTAGCCTAATGCTTCACACGTAAGTCTCCATAAGTATTTTTAATTAAAATAGTACTCATTTGTATTTAAAAGATCATGAAGTTCAGAAAACATGTTCAAATTTTTCTATTTGTGATAAGATAATAAACTGCAATAAATGATAAACATTCAAACTTGAAATAACCAAAAAAAATTGACAAAATTTCTAATTTTTTTTGCTTTAAATTTTGGTCTAAATTTGGGAGCATTTATGTTAAATTTATCATAAATACTACTATAAATCAAATGCAAATAAAATCCATTTTTTAAAATTTTTAGTTAGAAGTAACACTTCAAACTAATTCTAAGTAAAATTATTCTGTTGAATAACTACAAAATTAATTTGTTAAAAGTGACTTTTATGTTAATTGTTTACAAAAGTAACTACTCTATATATCTATTTAAAAACCATTCTATTTGAACAAGGTTTACAACATCTAGAAATAAAAGAGAGATCTAGCTCCTGTAAGAAGAAATCTACATTAGCATATAAACATTTTGAGACTGCCAGAAATTTGTAAATAAATACAAATACAAATTATGACTTGAAAATCAATAAATAAAGAAGTAATGCAAAAAGAAATTTTTTTAAGTAAAAAAAAGGCAGTTACAAGCATTACGATGTAAATCAACATGTGTGTTATGACTTTATTTTTTAAAATAGTTAAAATAGATAGTATTCAAAACCAGAGGTGATATAAAGTCATAGAAGCCTTCTAAAACCTCAAAAGATTGATGGAAAGTTTTCAGCCTACTTCTGGGAAATAGAGTTCAAAAAAAAAAAAAGTACTGATAATTATTGAAGATTGTGAAAAGGTGAGTGAGTGGGTATGTTTGTCTATTTCTACATCTTACTTTAAATTAATCATACAAGCAAATGCCAAGTATCAGTGAGTAAAGAATATCACAATCTCAGGGCTGGAAAGTACATCTTGGGTTAACTAAAATCTAAATTTACAATATGTCAACAATAGGGACTCTGAAAAGCAATGGTTCTCCATTACCACTTAAATGTTTTCAGGAACCAGAAGTTCTTTGCATTATGAATTAGCCCACTCCATGCACAGAGCTCTTTAAATGTTATAAAGTTTTTAAGTTCTTTCTTATCAAGCTGCATCATGCCTCCTAATCATTTCCAACAATTTATTCACCCACAAGAAAGACTAGGAAATAAACTGGATCCTAAAAATGCTAGAAAAACATCTAAGTCATCATCCTGACATGTTTATGAGCATCAAAACTAAATGTTCATGGAAATATAAAAAATTATTTGTATATTTGTTCCTTGGAAGTATATATTAATGGATTAATGGATTAAAATTCAAATAAACAAAAATCTTTCATGTCACCATATGGTCTTCCATTAAAATTTATAACATCTTCATCTTTACTTCTTTTTGAGCAAAGGCAGGTTTTCCGTGAATCTAGGACATAAATTCCTACCTTTTAGATTTGGCATTTCATTTGTATTATTATTACTGTGCTTATAGACATTGTCTTGTAGCACTAAAAGCTAATTTCTTATATTTCTATTCTCTGTATTTCCTTCTTTCCAAATAGTATTTCATTTTCCTATC